GGAAGTACCGTCAGAAACGCTAGGGCGACGAGGCGTTTGACGGTGTAGAGAGCAAATTAAAAATCTTGAGCTACGTTTAGGCCTCTGAGGACGACGATCTGGTCGAAACGTTAGGCCGCTAATAAAGTTCCACCTACAAACCTCGTTGGCTCAGAAGTAGAACATCAAATTCACAACAATGCCGAGATTATACGAAGAGAGAAGTTGGAGATTAATGTGATATGTATTTTTGTTCTGCTTCAAGTTTTTATTTCTTGGGTATCCATGAAGGTGACAAGGGTTGGTTATCTCCCATGCGTAAAGAGTAAATGGAATACTCTGTTTTACAGATTAATTCCATTGTCGACATTGGAGCTTCGTACCATTCTCAGTTTAGCGCGTTAGTCTATGAATTCGTCGATGATACCGGTTTCGAGCCATTGCCTGAAATGGAGCGAGGGCAAGGATTAGACAATATCGATGCAGTGAGTTACTCTGCATAACTTATATCCTATGCATTTTCGTTCTTCTGGTAGTTTCCTCGTACTTTCTCAGAAACCTCGACGTATGCTGTCGTTCGCAGTGAGTGACGGAGAAACCGATTTGAGAGCGATTGAATACTATTCAATAAAAAGCTTCTCCTTGCTCACCAAGCCGGGATCGAAGGTGCCCTTCTTGAAATTTGGTTTATCAGCTAGCAGCGAAGCTAAGTCATTCGATTTTTTGTTCTTCAGTGAGAATTCTCTTTCCAGATTCTGCTCATTCCACCCGTTTTATGCAGGAAAGGAGTGTTGTTATTGAAACCAACGAACGTTCAGCTTCTAGGTGCGGAATATTGGCGTCCATCAGAGCATTTCTTTAATTGTGCTGAAGCGATTTGCTCAATGCTTACTCCATATTCAGGAGGTGATGTCGAGTCGTTTTTCATGTCCGGACGGCCTCTTCAAGTAATGGCGGAGAAACTGAACGTCGCTATACCACAATCAAAGTATGTTTTGTGAATGGTTTTGATATCATTTCATATCGAGGGTAGCTTTTTCACAGTTGCTACTTCCACATATTGCTCAAGAATGAGCGCTAATGTAGTTGCGATTAGAATCCTCGGTGGTTTCTGTGTTCCGCTGGATTGCGCTGTCGCATCACTCGAGCTTTGGGCGCATGATCTTGTCTCCCAAGCCACCATGGCCGAGGCGGCGGTCCACCGCCAAT